AATTTAGGAGTAAAATCAGGTGAGTAAAGGATTATTTTGACAGCTGTTTGCCTCTTCTGGGAAGTTCCTTTCTCACAGCTGCTACCTGGAACTCCTGCTGAACTGAGCATGGTCAGCTTGCTGGCGTCGCTGCTAAGCAATCCAGCAATGGGGCTGCAGAGGTGGCTCAGTTAAGAGCATGTAATCCTCTCACAGAGGCATTTAAGGAGGGGAAAGAGCAAACACACTGGGTGGTATTTTCAGTTCTGTTGTGTCACATGAAAGGTGTCACACTGAGGGGCTTAATGACTCTTGTGCCTTGGTTCCAGGCAGCCAGTGAGGCCAGGCAACATGTGGCAGTGTCAAAGTCTCTGCAGAGAACCCGAGGTACCACAATTACATGAAGGTCAAACCCGAGTTGTAATTGTGAAACCGCTTCCTCCCTCAAATTTAGAGATGCAAGGACCATGAAATGTCTACCGAGAAAGCTGCAGGATGGAGTGAATCAGGCTCAAGGAAGAGGATATGGTGCTACAGGAGGGCAGAGCTGGAGGGTGGGGCTGTCCAGACAGGCCCTTTGGACTCCATAGGATTCCACTTGTAATAGATGGCAGGCACTGAGCCTCAGGGTTGACGCTGGTTTTTCTAGATTTTCAGTCTTTCTTTGGTTCAATCATTCCTTGCTATGTCCTTACTCATCCCTTTGGAAGACGAGTGTTTATTCCATATTGTTCTATATAGGATGTAACTTGTTTTTGATTTTTTTTCATAGACGCTCACAATTAAAAAAATGCCTTGAGTCTCTGATGCGACTTGGGCTTTGGACTTATAAACAGTTTAGTAATTATTAAAGGCTATGGGCACTATGTATGGTATTGGACCAAATGCATTCTACATTATGAGATGGCCATAAGCTTATTGGAACAAGGGATGGAAGTTTAAAAGTGATGTGTGTGGGTTATGTTGTCAAGGATAGGAGTTGTAATGGTAAATACTCACTGATAACCTGATGGAATTTGGAAACATCACGAAAACAAATCAAAAGGCATGTCTGAAGGATCTAAATTGATACAGGGAGACTCGTCATAAATGTGGGTGGTATCATTCCACAGGCTGAGGTTCTAAATAGAATAAAAAGAATACAACCTGAGTACAAGCATTCATCACTCTCTGCTTCTTGACTGTGGATACAAAGAGTCCAGGTGCTTACTGCTGCTGGTACTATACTTTCTCTGCCATGATGAACTGTATCTCCAGTAACAGTACGCCAAAATAAATCATCCTTCTTTGTGCTGTGTTACAGCACAGTGAGTGGCAATATGTTTTTAAACTAAGAAACAGAAAGACAGTAAGAGAGTAGACAGTATACACAAAGTTAGGTAAATTGGCTTATTTTATTTAACTTACTAGGGTGATAAGCTAGTTGAATTTGTGTTATTTTTACAAAGAATGAATAGATTGAAATCCTAAACATCAGTGTGGTTATAGGAGGAACAGTCTTAGAAGACTAATAAGAGAGTATAAGCTATACATAAAGGTAGGTAAATTGGTATATTTTATTTAATATATTAGAGTAATAAGCAAGTTGAATTTGCCCTATGTTTACATAAATTTCACAGATTGAAGTCCTAAACATCAGTGTGATACAAGAGCAACAGTCTTCGGGAAGAAATTAGTTCATAATGGTGAGCTCTCTTAGGCTATAATGGTCTTCAATTTCTTATAAAAGATACCCAGAGCGTTCTCTCGCTTCTTTTCTGTTGGGATACAATGGGAAGATGGAACTCTATGGAGGGGAAGAAGGCTCTCAGCAGAATCTTAAAGCACTGGCAGCCTAATAGCAGATCTCCATCCTCTACAACCTCTGCTGTATGTGAACTATGGTTATTTTGATATATCAACCTGAATTAAGCAAGTATTTTCACAAGTAAATGCATGTAATTATGGAAATCATAATATTGATGTGCCAAAATTCTGAAAGAAAAAAATTAAGTGATTATAGTATAATAATTAATTTGTAGCAGAACATATAAATTAAAAACATAAAATTTAGTTCTTTTATGATTTAAAAAACAGTCTGGGGGGCTGGAGAGATGGCTCAGCAGTTAGGAGCATTGCCTGCTCTTCCAAAGGTCCTGAGTTCAATTCCCAGCAACCACATGGTGGCTCACAACCATTTGTAATGAGGTCTGGTGCCCTCTTCTGGCCTGCAGGCATAGACACAGAATATTGTCTACATAATAAATAAATAAATATTTTTTTTAAAAAAAGTCTGTAGGGCAACACCTTAAGAGCTGAATATTTTACAAAATGCTCTGTTAAAATACAGAACTTAAACTATTCAGTGCTGGTAATGCATCAACATGGGAAAACAGTTGTTTCAGTTTCAAGATATAGTGTAATCATATAATATGCTAAACACAAATGCAACAATTTTAGCTTATATACATATGTCCGGTATTATCCAATTTTCTTCTAGAGAATCTTTCCTTGAAAATGAAGTGTAGTGATAAATGATGGTTAACTAGTTCTTGTAGACCAGGCTAGCCTAAAACTCACAGAGATCTGCCTGCCTCTGCTTCCAGAGTGCTGGGATTAGAGGTGTACACCACCACCACCTGGCTGGCTGACTTAGGTTGTTTTAAGAGTTACTTTCATCTAACCTATCAAAGTCTAACACACCTCATCTAGACTTAAAGAGTAAAACTTTAAGTGCTGACAGACTTAAGACGAAAAGCCAGCAAACAAAACAAACAACACCCAACAAAAGAACACCTCTAGTATATTCTAGTTTATGATTTATCCAATCAGTCTGCTTTAAGTAATATTACTAAATAATATCTGCATTTCTCTTATCTATTTTGAACCATCTGTTCTGAACAGAGTGCTTGGTTTTGAAGTCCAACACCAGCATTTCCCAGCTCTGAGGTCTTCATCAAATCACAGAACCTATAAAAAATGTCCTATCCATTAAGCAATTTCCTATGAAATGAAACTTACCAGCCTGGTGAAAAGTTCTTTTAGGATGAGAAACTTCTAAAGGGCAGTTCAGTCAGAAACAGGAAGTAAACAACTACCAAGTTTCAGGAAGTCTTTGAAACTTACCTGAATCACAAGGCTAAGAAGTAAGCAAGACTTCAAGAAGAAATTCTGACCCATTGAACTGTCCGCCTATGTGCTGACCTCCATGGATACAGGTTTTCTGAGTCATTACCCATGCTGGGAGGAATGGACTTCTGGTGGTGCAGCTGACTCTGAGCTGTCCATGATTCTGTAAGTACCCTTTGCTCATCCTCTGGAGTAAGTAGCTGTAATAAACCCACTTGTTCACCAAATTGGGCTTTGTTCAATTCACTTCTTTGTTGTGTTGTTGGTGCCTTATCTGGGCTGAGTAGATTCTTCATTATTTTTACCCAGTGAAAGTCTTACACAACAGGTTCAAAAGTCTTAGTGCACAAAACAGTCAATAGGACCTAGTACATAGGGTTGTAAAGACTGTATGATGTAAAGTTCTGAGTTTACAATTATACGTGATAGGTGAAGATTTGATTTCTTTCTCTGGCCTCCTAAATCTGTTAAAATATATCTGCTTTTGTTGTTTGTTTCTGGTATGATAGGCTGTGAGGTTGGCACACATTATTAGGTAAAGGTACTGGATGCCAAACCTAATTACCTGAGTTCAATCCCAGGAACCCATATGACAAAAGGAGAGAACCAACTCCTAAAAGTTGTTCTCTTACACCCTCCATATTGCATTTCCTCCACAAAATAAATAAACAAAATAAAACATGTAAAAAAATACATAACATCTTTTCTATCTATATTTGAGACAACTCTTGATAGATGACATTCTGGGTGCATCCTAATGCAAGCAACTTATGACAGGCTATCAACATAGATGAGTTACTAAACCAGTATAATTTGATAATTTTCAGGTTTCCAAATGCTCATTCATTGGTATTTCTGGATTTTGAGAGACTGGGTTATATAGCTTTGACTGCTATTTTTAGAAACCTGTAAAGACATTTACCACCACTGGGAATGAATCTGTATTACTCACCTTTTCCTTCTATTATTTTCATGGCTAAGCATGTTTAAGATGTTATACAATTCATAGCTTTTCTTTCAAATGCATTTTTTTTCAGGATTGACACCACTGTTATGTGAGTAGTCTCAGTATCTAATTTCAAATCAGAACTTGAATTTAGAGTTTACAATTATAAATGGTCTTTAGGCTGTGAAAAGTTGCATGTTGTAAACATGACATATATCTAGAATTTTAAAGAACAGTCACAGAGCAGTTTATAGTTTGTTGAGGTACTGGATTCTGACTATACTCTGTTGGCTCCTTAAACAGTGAAGTAAGCATGGACCCATGAAGGGGTTTTGTTACCCCAGCCCTTTCTCTTCTTTGCTTCTTAGCTTGGAGGTGAGGAGCTTCTCTGTCAGGTATTATAGCCATGAAACTGCCTCGGCATGGGACTAAGAACAAGGAGCTGAGCATAAATCGAAGTCTTCAAAGTTTGAACAAGAATAACCCTTTTTCCTTCCTTTCACTCTTTTTATAAATTATTTTCTATATTCTCTTTTAACAGAAACACAGAGGCATGTTGAGAGAAAAAACAAGGCAGTTATAAAATATTAATGTTAAATACTTATTAAATTTTAATTTATTAATCTGAAAATGCAATATTGTCTTTCAGCTAATGAAATAAAATTTATTAATCATATGTAAAATGTTATCAGATTCTCCCGTATTGAAGTGATTTCAGTGAAGGCGAAGGATACTTTACACATATGAGTGACCTAAAAGAATGGGCTGAGCACATACCCAAACCTCCACAACTGTGAAGGGAAAAACACACATGCTGGTTTAAAGAGCAATGCCTGATCAGAAAGTACGGAACTATTCAGTAAGCAGTGAGAAAATAAACTTAGTTTAGTTGGTCTCAGATAATGATTGGCAGCAAAACACCAAACACCACACCAACACATTATTCTTTTTGGCATGAACAAAGCACTCTAGTTGGTATATTTTATTTTTTTTTGATAGTGCCACAATAAAAATTACATATATACCAATTACCTGTGATCTTTTATAACTCTTTAAAGCTGTTTCGCTAACACAATTTGAGCTTTAAAGTCATACAATAAAGTGAACTTTTAGAAGACAATTAAAACTAAAAATACATTAAAGATATCATAAATCATGATAGGATATTGAGATGGCTTATAGCTGGTATTTACACATTCTAATTACAACAATATGTAGACCTTTACAAGAAGCTGGTAACTAAGGCATTCAGAGGTAATGTTAATTTCCATATAGTTAATGGCCAGATTAACAATGTCATAAGTCCTAAATTCTTAAAAAATTCTTTCAGAGTCCATAAAACCAAGCAGAATAATGTAAAATATTCTTGGTTGCACAAATCTTTTCAAATAAATTTGAGATTATTCACTATGCCTTACATAGACACCTTTAGCTGAAAACTGGTGAGGTCTCCAGAGACTATCTTTTCACGTCTTCACAGCTTGGATCTGATCTGATAATAAACAGACAAAAAACTATTATCAGTCTCACAAGGGAAAGACCAGCAACCCTATTCTCTAAGTTAACTCAAGCCCAATCTATACAACACAGGGAGATCCTACCTGCATATACATTTTCTTCTTAAGATACAATTAATAGTGCTGTGTTAATTTTTATATAAGCTGTCAGTAGGTAAGAAATTAGCTAATTCTACAGGCTTACTAGAAAGACCCCTAACAGTTCGTTTGGTCTTTGGTCCTTTTTGGTCGCTGTTACTTAATTAATTCCCTTCTAGGTAATCACTTACAACTCACTAAGCACACACAGCAATACCTGAAATATCAGTAGCCTTATTAGACTTCAGCTCTCACACTCCCGTTCAGTTCTTCCTTTGCAAGCTTTATGGCCCTAACACTTCTAACTCGGCTTGCCATCATTATTTGTATGACTATGGCAATGTCACGCAGCATTCAGAAAGGTAGGTGTGTGCGCTTTCCTCTAAGGTTTTAATCTCAACTAAGCCCGTTTCTTTCTTTCTCCTTCCTTCCTTCCTTCCTTCCTTCCTTCCTTCCTTCCTTCCTTCCTTCCTTCCTTCCTTCCTTCCTTCCTTCCTNTACTTTTCCCCCAACAGTTGTGCTCTTTCCACACTATTTTACTTGCTGGGTTTATCCTTAACCCTAGTCGTGGCATTCTTAAATCGTTGTGAATTTAGTTCATCTTCTTCAGTTCTTCTAATGTGATTTATGATTTGTTCATTAAGAGCAAAATCAAATTAAAAGCAGAAAGGAGCGTGTAAGATTGCCAAACAAGATTAACAAAAGAACTTGAATAACCAAAGATCAAAACCAGGAAAGTCACAGTCCCATGCATGTGTATGAAAGATGTGGGGAGCGATGTCCAGAGTATCCATCCTTCCTTCCTTCCTTCCTTCCTTCCTTCCTTCCTTCCTTCCTTCCTTCCTTCCTTCCTTCCTCCTCCTCCTCCTCCTCCTCCTCCTCCTCCTCCTCCTCCTCCTCCTTCTTCTTCTTCTTCTTCTTCTTCTTCTTCTTCTTCTTCTTCTACTCTGTAACAGCCCTGGCTGTCCTGGAACTAGTTCTGTATACTAGGCTGCTTGAACTCACTGAGATCTGCCTGCCTCTTCCTCTCAACTGCTGGGATTAAAGGTGTGCACCACCACTTCTATCCAGCAAAGCAAGGAGTACTTGTTTTTGTTTTTTTGAGACAGGGTATCACTATCCTGGCTCTTCTGGAACTCACTCTGTAGACCAGACTACCCTCGAATTCACAAAGATCCACCTGCTTCTGTCTTTCAAGTGCTGGGATTAAAGGCATGCACCACTGCCCCCCCCCCCCCAGGCCTCTTCTTCCTTTTTAAAAAGCACATTTAACACTAATTCAGTCTCACATGTGAAGCACATTACATAACCTATCATCTTCACCTTCTTTTTAAACAATTATTTATGTATATGGGCGTTTCCCCTACATGAATGTCTGTGTACCATGTGCATGCCTGATGCTCACAGAAGCTAGTAATGTTGAGTCCCTGGAACTGGAGTCCTGGGTGGTTGTGAGCCTTCATGTGAGTACCGAGAAGTTAACTCAGGTCCTCTGGAGGTGCAGCCTTAACCACTGAGTAATCTGTCTAGTCCCTGTTTACATCTTGTTGAAGAACTCTTTTCTAAACACCGTGAGGACTCTCCCACCTAGACAGCCCTTTTCTCTGCGTGCTAGTTATTCTTGAGATCCCTTTCATCATCCGTCTGGGATTTCCATTAACAGTTCAGGGATTTTTTTTTTTTTATCCTCCATTCCTGGGCTGGTTTTCCTAGTTCCGGATCCATCTAGCCATCCTTCCTTTCTTCCCTGTCATCCTTACTTTGAGAGTGTGTGATGCATGTGAACACATTCATAGTCATGTGTCTATGTGAATGTGTGTTGGTCCATGTGTGAAGGTCAGAAGTCAAACATGGTGGTGGTCCTTGTCTTCTATCTTAAAACAGGGTCTTTGTGTTTGCTGTTGTGTATACCAGGCTAACGGACACATGGCTTCTGTGGATTCTCCACCTGCCTTGCATTTTGCCACAGGCCCACTGGACAACAGATGAATGCTACTGGCTTTCAATAAGTTTTGGAGATTCAATCTCACTTAGGCCTCATGCTTGCACAATGAGCACTTTAGGAGTACATGGGGGAAATGAGCCCCTTGATCTTGTCTTTTTCTTTTCCTGGTTTACTCTCTCCTTGAACTAATACAGCAGAACGTGTCTTAATTTACGGTCACATTTGACATTGCCTCAATATGACATTACTGTATATCCTCTATGATCTTTTCCAGACACTCACCATTACCATGTCGTTCCAAAGTAGCGGGTGTTGGGAAGTTTGATGTAGCAATTCCTTTTCTTATGTGAAACCTATTTCCACCTCGGGAAGATTGCACAAGTTTCCACTGTCTTCAGGGTTGAACCTTACTAATGATGTGTCTTGGGTAGAAATATTTTCTTCCCCTGTTCTGGGCTCTCAAGATTCAGTTCCAACAAATACTTTTTGATGACCCACTACTCCTCTTTAGTTTTTTTGGTTCTCTTTCTAAACTGTCTCATGTTTGGATACATGATCTTCTCAATAAGACCTCTTTGGGGTTTTGTTCTTTTTTGTTGTTGTTGTTGTTGCTGTTGTTTGTTTTTCTAGATTGCTTGTTTTTTTTTCTGTTTGTTTGTTTGTTTTAGACAAGGTTTCTCTGTTTAGCCCAGGCTTTCCTGGAGCTTGCTCTGTAGACCAGGCTGGCCTCAAACTCAGAAATCTGCCTGCCTCTCTCTCTTTTGAGTGCTGGGATTAAAGGTGTGCACCACCACCTCTGGCATCTGCCTCCTTCTTAGTCTGATTCCTCAGATGACTCTCTCTATTTTATGCCTACCTCTACTGTTTGTTTCCTGGTGGTGTAGGAAACAGAGGAGAATTACAATATTATCTATGAAAACTCGCAGCCCCGCCTTGCTTTCAGTTTACTATTACCACACACCGTGAGTCTGGTGTTCTCCAGTTCAGATAGTGTTTGAATATTTGCAAAGAATAATCCTTAAAACTCATTTTGCTATTGTAGTTCTTGGGTGTGGGAAGTCATGATTTCTTTTTTCAGTTCCAGATCCATCTTTTACTTACAAGCATATTCTAAACCTTTGGGAAGATGTTCTGTGTGAATCAGGCTGCCCAATTAGGATTCAGCTTTTTGGGGCCCATTAAAGCCAAACTACGTCCATCAGCTCTCCAGCTTTCCAAACAAGATTACCATTTTTACCACATCCATTCTTGATGTGGGATAAACGGTCTGCCTCAAGGCCAGCTCTTTTGATACTCTTCCTGTTGCACAGAGCAGACAAGGATGCTCCTACTTACCTTGCAGAGACTGATGCAACAAAAGGACAAAGAACAGGTTCTAACAATATTCTGTTCTCACAAAGACTTGGGGCAGAAGGTAATAGGTCAGAATAGAAAGAAAAAGAATTGGTACCAAGAAGCGTTGAAAATTGGTCCTATAAAATTGGATCATTACTGACACCTAGTGGCTATTGCTATGGATTTAAAAAAATAAAAATATAACTATAAATGTAGTTGGGGAAGAAAGGAGAGACAGAAACCAAAACCTAGAAGCTATATCATCTTCTGTTCAGTGCTGTGCTCAAAGTCACTACACTAAGCACACACGCAGCATCTTCACTGAGAGTAACGTCAGCATTGGCAAAGGAAGAGGCCAGAAAGAAAATACATCTCTCTATCTTCTCTGGGGTTTTAATCCGTAACAATCAGTTTCTTTCAGAAATCCATGCCGTAACCCTGAACACTTCTTATAATAATTTGAAACACAAAGTTGGTGGGTTCAAAGAAAATATTCCTTTACTAATTTTGAGAACCATTAGAGATGTTTGTTTTACTTACTAATAAAATATGACTAGAATGTTCATTAGTAAATGTTTTGACTAAATAAATACAAGCTAAAAAAGTCTGTGCCAGGCAGTGCTGGCACATGCCTTTAATCTCAGCACTCAGGAGGCAGAGGCAGGCCTATCTGAGTTTTGAGGCCAGCCTGCTCTATAGAATGAGTTCTAGGATAGCCAGGGCTATGTAGAGAAATCTTGTCTCAAAAAAACAAAACAAATCAAAACACCCCTCCCCCCAAAAAAAACAAGAAAAAAAGAGGAAAGAAATGAAAAGTCTCTGTGTGGAATTCACTAGAAGAGCAGATTTTACATATTTCTATTTGCTATAAAACGTGCTTTTAGCATTTGTAGGCAGATTACTCCTCCACCCAACACAACAGGCTATAATTCTGCCATAGTTTCCAAAAGATGAAGGAAGAAAATGAAAAACGATACTACACATGTCTAATGTAAAAGGCTAAAGTACAAGGAAATAGTACTTATAACCACAAATTGTAATAAGAATTTGTATCTTTTTTTTTTAACCCCATTAAGAGTGGAAAGATTCTCAGAAAGAACAAATAGTCAGAAATTCTGTTTACACTGAAAACTTTTGATTTGGCCATAAGATTCTACAGAAAGGACATACAGAACACACACCTTTCTATTGCTCTGCATGCTTCAAGCTGTTCTTATACACAGTAGATGATATGACCCTAGGGGAAACTATAACTTAATTTATTCCCTAATATAGCAATGATCTATTATAGCTATTTTGATTTTAAAAACTGAACTGAAAATAAACAAGGTATCAAAAGAATAATAGTATTTATAATACTCAGTATGAATGTTGAAACTTGTGTATATATGCTATGTATAAATGAAAAAAGTATATATATATATGGATTACTATACAGTATGGTAGAAAAAAATAGTTGTCATTTGGTCCATAACATTTGTCTCAAACTTTAAATGTGTTCTTCAGCTACTAGAGTTAGTGAAAATCTGGGTCCATAAATTAAAACTATTTTCTAGATCTGATGTATAAATTGAATATACACAGAGAAACAATTAATTATTAAATCTGCCAGAAAAATAAAATAAAGTAAATGCAGCAAGGTATCAGATACTTACTGTACTGTTTTTTCTGACAGCAGAAATAAAAAACAAGAAGGAGGCATTGATGTAATAAAATTAAAATATAAAAATGAAATGAAATGAATGAAAAAGCAAGCGGCTACAGATGCACAGTAGCGTGCGGTGTACCTTGAAGCCAGTCCACGCCTTCCTGCAGTCCTTCTCCTTTGATGGCATCACTTGCACTGAAATAAAAGTCAAACGAAATGTCCAGTTTATAACATCATACAACTCTAGGATAAAATAACAACAATTTTGCCATATTGCAAAGAAATAAATCCTAATATACATTATGCAAAACTATTAAGTATTAAAATAGACTATAAATAGGAGCTTAGAATCTGAGGACTTAGGAAAATACACATGAGACAAATTTTGAGAATCGGTAGTAATATTAAGAACACATAAACATCAAGTTATTTTCTCACTGTAGAAAAATCTAGAGTTCACTGCCCTACCCTGCTCTACCCAGGGCTCCAACAGCATTTACTTGTTACAAATGTTTGACTTAGGTCACGGTATACTCACAGAATCAACTGACTTCTTCCTCTGTGTAGCCTGGACTACCCTGAAACTCACTGTATAGACCAGGTTGGCCTCAAACTCCTATTTGCCTACCTCTGCTTCCCAAGTTCTGAGACTAAAGGCATATAGCACCACCCCTTGGCTGCTCATAAACTTTTATAAGCTATTAGAAGAAAACAAAACTCCAGTCAATTTCAATTGTACTTTTATATTTACTACTTCAGTAACCTTTGGCATCTGCAACTGAGAGAATATTACCATGACCTAACATGGTTATTGAAGAATTACCTATTTGAAGCATGCATGTAAAAGAAAAGGTGCTTCCATTGTCTTCCATCCTTAAACCTCTAATGTGATATTTCGTCTATAATTGTTTAAGGTATATAAAACTAAAATAACAAAGTTCAAATAATCGTTTTGGGAGCTATAGACCAATATGTGTTATAGATCTAGCAACTTATTTAAAACCTATGATGATATTAATACATAATTAAAATTTCTGAATAATTAGATTATTTTATAGCATTCACTTAGTGGGGAAGCAACATCTAAAAGCACAGTAGAAAACCTAGAGAATTAAATTAATCTGGTTCTAACTAAAGAAATTACTGCCAAGGAATTACTTGTTAAATTGAGACTACAGGTTAGGGAAGAATTCTTCAAGTAAGAAGTCAGAAACAAATGATATGAGGTAAATTACTAAAAGCACATTTTTAATTACATATCATAATAGCAAGGCATTAGTAGCTAAAATACTTTTTATCAAAAATCCAAACTATTGATTTTGGCACATAAAATTCTAGACAAGAATACAGGAAGGAACTCCTTGTCTATGAGACAAGTGAAACCAAGTGACTAGAAACCCTATATATTTCTCCGAACAAGTTCCACCTTTCCTTTGAGATGAACTGTAAAACTCAAAACTAGAGCAAAAATCAAGCTCTTCGCCACATGCTCCAGTGCTTTGGACTTTATGGTCCTGAGTTATCTCTCAGTGGCCACAGCTCCCACAGCTTCCCCTTCCACTGCTCAGTGGCAGCCAGAGACCTAGCTGTTCCCAGAACAGAACAGGAACACTCTCAGCCATGAAGGGCTTTTTCTTCCTGGCCTCTGGCTGGGTAGCTGCTTCTCCAACCAGGCCTTCACAGGAAATGCTCCCTGACTGATGTCAGGCCACAAAGAGAAGTCAGGCCGTGCTTTCTCTTCCGCTATTAACATTTCTCCATCCAGTCATCTGATGTTTGTATAATTATTCCCTTATTAGCTGTCTATTTCACAATTAAATATACAAATCCAAATATATCATGAAGGAACTAAGTCAAAAACATGCTAACTCAAATGAGACCCTAGACTCTATGGTTAGTAAAAATGGTAAAAAGGAAGGTCCCAAATTCTTCTTTAGTTTCTCAGACTATACCAATATCCTTGTATCCAATCTAAGGTAAGAGGCAGGCAATGCTTGATCTCCTTTATCCCTGAGGACAACCACCCATAGAGCTGAAGCTGGCAAAGAAGGATAAGCATATTTTCAATCTTGTGCATGCTTTAAAAGATATCACAAAATGCAGAACAAATCTTATAAATGAAATGCTAATTTGAGTTTAGCAAAATGATGTCCAGTTTGAATTAAGGAGAAGTAAAGTTACAGGCAAGTTAAAAAAATTTCTCGTCATTTTTCTCTGCTGTATGGAGAACACAGACCTGGGAAATAATATTTTTAAGCATCATGACCTCACTTTTCACACAGACATTTTGAGATGTCATAATTGAATAAATAAATCTGGATAAATTCACCTGTTAGTTATCTTAGGTAGAAAGGGATAATTAACTCATGAAATTGACACTTCATGGACACTTCTTGTGCCTCCTGTCAAGGCAACACAGAACCCTGCACACTACAAACATTAGTATTTATTTGAATTTATGTTGTCTTTAGAGTTCAACAATTTGGAGTTCAGTGGTTTGTGATAGCAAAAGTTCTATCTCAAATTTTTTTCTGTCTAAAATCACACTCTCCTTTAACTATTAAATATGACTGGATCTCAGATTCAAGTTTAACTACCATAGAGTACTATCAACCCCATGCCACCCCTACTCAAGACCAAGAAAGACTTCACTGTTTCTGTTCTGATGCTGGTCTCCACAGAATCTTGAGGTGGTCTCTGGGGTTTACTTAAAGACTGCACTGTTCAGCACCAAGGCTAGCTCTTAAGGACTCTTCTTAAAAGTATGATATTAATTCTCTGGAATTTCATACAATCTGTTCAAAGCACATTCACTCCCCCCTCCCTACCCATTCAACTTCATGGTCTCTCTTTTAAAAACCCAGGGAGTCTAGTTTATGTTACCCCTGAAAAGTTTTAGGTGCCTGGTCTCTCCTGGTGTGTGGTTGATCTATCAGGGGTCACACCCTTAAAGAGATACTAACTTTCAAAATGCTGCTAGGCCCATCACCCACTCCATATTGGGATTTATAGCTCCACTTGCTTTTGCTTTACAGTCTAGGTCACTTCTAGAGACAGTAAACTTCTCTACTTTGTGTACAACTTCCCCCCAGTTATTATTTTAACTCTTATGGAAAGTGGAAAAAACTACAGAAAGACATTCTGGGGCATGGGAAGGTAAGTGGGTAAGTAGCAAAAGAGGATCTTAGGAAGGTAAGACATTAGCATTAATTAAGAAACTCTTTCCTAAATATATAATGCACGCGCAGCAGTTTCAGACACTGTTTGCTAGTATGTCCATATACAACCATTACCTCTACTTCCTCATTTGAATAAATGTATAATATATGTACCATGTACTAGTCACAAAATTGGGAAAAGAAATATAAGGCAGCAATTAAAACGTGGCAGAAATTCCAACTCCTAGAGAGCTGAGGCTAGTGTTAGAAGACAGACTACCACCAAAATAAAAAGCAAAAAAGGGGCCACATGGTAATGGTGAAACACAATCGCAATCTCGGAGGATGACTCAGACAAGGCGACACCAGAGGGCGACTTTCCCAAGAAAGGATTGGGTTTGGCTGATTTCAAGTGAAAAAGCAAGTCACTGTGCTTGAAGGCAGGACAGCAAATGGATTATTTTATTTATGTTTTTTAACATAAGATTTTTTAAAAACATTCTTTTTATAGTGCTAAAGGATTTGAAAAGTTAACAGCAACATATTCATGAATAACTGAAATGTCACAATTCTGTGAAATACTTTGCATTCTACCATGTTTGCCATTGACAAATGATGTAAGAAAAACCTAAGCAGAACCCTACATTTCACAGACCTTTCAGAAAGACAAAATGAGAAATAAAAATGTTTTACCAAATATGCCACGGCTTGTCTTTGATGTTCTCTAAGCACAGCAACTGAGACACCTTCACAGATGTCACTGCGTCTCTGAGATCCATTTTATTCGCAAAGAACAAGATTGGAATACGGCGGTGCTTAATATCTGAAAGAGAAAGACGCCATCACAACACTTCTAGTGATTTGGATCTCTTTGCCCTAAAACCTTAAAACCGAAATAAGATAAACTGTTTCCCATTGCTTCTTTTAATATGACCCATACACAAACACAGATGCACAGTTAGACATTCATCTAAACAAAGAAATCAAAACTGCTTGGTAAGACCGTGTGCCCTCTGTCTAGGGACTTTAAACCAAAGAATAAAGTCAGAGAAGGAGAATCTAGACATTAGAGAAGCAGTTATTCAAAAGGACAAATATTTCTCTTGTTTGCAGCTGTCAACACAAGGGAGACTGACCTAAATAGAAAGACGAGGAGGAAATGGACTTGCTTTATTTCTAAGTCACAGACAGCATCATGAACAAATGAGATCTTTTAATAACGTTATTTTTCTCATTTACAATTTTGAAAGCATTTTTCAAAGGTTTTGTGTATTTTTTTACATTTAACTGTGTGTGCACGTGTGTGTGAGTGTGTGAGCACACTAGGATATAGGTGTGCCATGGCATGCATATGGTCACAGGAAGGATTCAACTCTCTCCCTGTCTACCATGTGGAGCTGCAGAATCAAACTCAGGATGGATCCCAGGTTTGGCAGCAAGTGCTCCTAGCTGCTAAGTGAAGCCAAGTCCAAACACATTAAAGAGCTTAGAATCCAGGAGAATTTCTTTCTCACCTTTGTGCGCAATCGCCTTCCACAGTAAGGACAATGCACACCAGCAACTTCACAGCTTGTAGAAACACTGTGTATTTCCAGCCACAATTATTCTAGCTAATTCCTTGTAACAACACATTTACCAATATTCTACATGTTTATCTTTTCACTTAATTCCCTAACTTACCCTTGTTACCTAGGCAACACAAAAACAAAAAGCCCAGGGGTTCACAACTGCCTGTATATCCAATTCCAGGGGATCTGATACACTCTTGTGGCCTTTGTGGGCTCCTGCATGCCCATGGTACATGTAAATATACTCAGGCACTAACATACTTAAATAAAAAATAAATAAAACCACAATCTAATTCTTCTTCCTACTTGAAGTTTTCCTAACATTGAGAGCAAAACAAAGCAACACATATAGATGGAACCCAAAGCACAGACATCATGGCAGAAATTCCACAGATACCTGGGTGATTTAGAAGAGTATCAAGTTCTTCTTTGGCCACAACCATCCTTAATTTATCACTACTATCAATGACAAAAATAATGGCTTGTCCATCTCTGTATAATATAAAGAAATAGAATAATGACAGATTTTACCACCACATGCAATACCAAATGTGTATAAAACATCTTGTCCTAGTAAGTTGGCAGTGTTACATCTGAAATATTTACTGAACAATATGTCTGTATACTCTGAAAATTATCTTGTTTGAAAACATTTGTGAAACAAGTCATCAGCTGCAAAACAAACTTTTTTTTTCATTAAATATAGCCAGTAATAATTCTTATCTCTGAGCTGGCCCTTGAAGGAATAATTTGAATAGAAGAGTTTCTTCACGAAAGCAGCTGTGGTACATAATTACACAGATGTGAGTGGACAAAGTATTGTGTAAGCACTGATAACCCAGGCTTCTAACCCAGGCTGGCCTTAAATTGTGATCCTTCTTTCTTAGTATTACAAGTACTAGGATTGCAGGCATGTGCCCTGTAGCCCAATCGCTGGTTCTTAAAGTGTAGCTATATTAACCACATAGAGAAATGGACACCAAAACCAGAGAAGAGAGCAAAGGTACAGTGCTATGAATTGTATGAAGTTCTATTATTATAGCAGATTTCGCTTGGATTTTTAATCAGTATTTGACATTAAAATGTAGCCATGTGGTAAGCAATACTCATGAAAATACTTACTTATAATAGTGTTCCCAAAGATTCCTGTACCTTCCTTGCCCTGACATATCAAACACTGTAAAAGACAAACTATAAACAAAAGCAAGACATTACTATATTTTAAGCAACTAAGTTAAATGGTTATCTTTTAATATCTTAAGTTCTATCAGATCAATCAACATGGCTGTAGGATAATAAATGTGGTCAATATTTTAAAAAATGAAAAATAAATTTGTTAATCTAACTATTATTTTGCAATGAATAACCTAAAAATCTTTCCTTTGCTAATGAAGTTTTCAAGAGTTGGTCTAAGCTTTAAGGGCCAAGAATAAACTAAAGATAGTGGTACAAAAAGGTCTAAACCCATAGGGACTGGAAATGACAACTGATTTCCAGGTAAGTATGAAAACCCAGCTTTAGAGTCACAGAGAGAATGTGGTTACCTGGAGGACTTGAATTTCTCTATGCTGAATCCTATGGTTGGAACTATATCCTGACACTGGGCCTGCAAGAAAAGACATAAATTTAAATATTTGCAATTACAAAGATGGGTTTTCCTCAAGTACCAGATTTTTTTTTCATTTTTAAAGTATGCTACCAAGGTGATGACAAAATTAAATATTACAATTTCTGTAATAGGGACACATAAAAATATAAGGTTTACTTGCCAATTATGAATTGGTATAACATTTATGTGCAAATTCACATTTTGTTTTATTAAACAAGGAAAGTAAGTTTTCGTAAGTGGTTAAAAAAAGTCGTCACTCTGGGCTCCTATGTTGAACTTCTTAATCACTGTATACATTATTTTTATTAAACTTATGTACATTGAACTTACGTATGTTTGTAATTCTCTGTCTTCATGTCTGGTCCCTGCTCTCAAGGAGCTCATCAGATAGAAAATGTAAGCCACCATCAACAATGACACCATGGATGAAGAGAACTCGGGAGAGAATGGTAGGTACGGGAAACCCTAGGACAAGTTCCTGGCCAACAATATTCCAGTAAACGGAATTCGTCAGTACACTGATTAGGTAGAGAAGGAACTTGCTACTCAGGAAAGACAGAAGGTGTGTATGTCTAACGTGCATTGCTAAGTAAAAGAGTGATACAGGCTGAATTAAGATAGGCGGGGTCATGATGGCTCTGGTGAAGGGTTCTACAGGAAGAAGCCTATAGAACCCTGTAGAACAGGGCCAAGAGAACAGCAGGACACACTTTGACAGGTTCCACAGACATTTAAAAATATACTGATAATCGACACATTAAATGCCTCCTAGAATTTCCTTCATCAAAACTGTTCATTCATTTAAACAAAAATGTATCCACTTTATGACCCAGATGCTTGGAAGTTATTCTTGACTCCTCCTTCGTTACATGCTAAGTATGAAGCCATCCACTCTCTAAGTTTTACCGGCTCTGTGCCATTACCTTAGACTAGACCTTTCCGTTCGGTGCTCTGAATTACAATAGCCTCCTAATTACTCCTAATGTGCTCTGCCACCTGGCACAAGTTATTTAAACCTAGGTTTGCTTAAATGTCAACTATATTATTGTGCTCATAAAGTTATTATGAGAATTAAATGAGCTAATAGGTATTAAATACTCAGCATGGTGTCTATAAAATCCCACAAATGTTTGCTAGTATTATAATTATATTCTCATTCTGGTTAGTCTTATTCCTAGGTTTTCCCATACTGCCTTAATAATAGATAAATAAAAAAAATCTTGTTCTTTTTATGTGAAAATAAGAGTAGAAGAAGGGAAAATTTGCCTCACATTAGCATGTTCACTTGGGTACTCTACTCTTATAAAATTTAAAGCCAACTGGAAGAAAAGCTGGAAATGAAGTGGAGCATTGGAACATCAGCAGCAAGCGCTGCGACCAGACCTCCCCCAGGTCTGGTTCCTCAGCTTTTCCGTCTACTCAGCCTTTGAGCTGCATAAATTGTTCCCCTAAAATATTGTTTTCATTTGCTAGAAAAATAAACTATTTTGTGGCATCTGGGGTCTTACCTCATTTCTCGGAAGTTCCTTGAACAACAAGCTTTAGAATAAAATGTTTTTTTAATTTTGTTGTTTTTCCTATGATCCTACCATTTTTATTTAAAATGATTTTTTCATCAATCACATGATAAAGGTTAAGAATTTAATGAAATTACAGAATACAACAAATAATAACAAGTGTCTTCATTGAATTATAACTAGAATACTTAAGTTACCTCTATATAATTACCTAGGTTCTCCAAACTCCTTTTAAAATTTAGCCTGAAGGGGTAACATCCCTCAACTATTTCTTCTCCAAAGTTCTAATGGAAATAATCCACAAAAGAAAGTCCAGAAGTTAGCCAGGATAGAGAAGATTCATATGGAACTCATTTTCCCCTACAGTAATTCAGAGTAAAGGCTGGACACAGCACACACTCAGAAAATGGATACACAATGGACATCCTGGAGTCCATACGCCAACTTCTCTAGCAGAATCTGTGAAGTTCAGATTCAGTGAGGGATCATGTCTGAAAAAGTAAGGTGGAGAGAAACTGAAACTGAAAACTGTAGTCAACCTCTGGCTTTTACGCAACAGGCACACTCGCCGCTATCTCCCCAACAAAGAGTCATCTCTAGTATTAATTTCCCTCTGTTTTACCCAGGAATAAACACATCCAGTCACTGAACTGGAATGGCAACAAGAAAGGAAGGAGTGTAGCCTGGGTTGTTTGAGGCAAGCAGTGATTAGACCAGTACCAACAGGATCAGAACAGAATTTCTAAGAGAAGTCTTAGTTTCATCAACTCTGTTAAAAATTATATCTCCATGTAATCAACAAAATCCCATGATCAAATTTGATGATGATGATGATGATAATAATGGACATCAATCTATTCATCTACCATCTAAAATATATTTCAGTGCTAATCCTTGTTCTAGGTATTTGTTATTCAATGCTTGATAAATCAAGGGCTTTTTGGTTTTGTTTTTCTGAGACAGGGCTTCTCTGTATAACAATCCTGGCTGTCCTGAAACTCACTTGGTAGACCAGGCTGGCCTCAAACTCACTGAGATCCACCTGTCTCTGCCTCCCAAATGCTGGGATTAAAGGTGTGTGCTATCACCACCCAGCATCAAGGACTCTTTTGATGTTGAGGAGAAATAAAATAAGCAAGGTATCAAATTAATATGCAACACACTATCAAATGAATATTCAAATTGCTTAGGAATTTTTCAAGAAAAAGCTAGATGCTTTTCCTCCAACCAACGAAAAGGGGGATCTCACCATGCAGTCCTAGCTGACCTGAAGCACTCTATGTAGACCAGATTGGCCTGGAACTCATAGAGATTGGTCTGCCTCTGCCTTCTGAGTGCTAAGATTAAAAGCATATAAATACCGCCTTGACTTGGTCAAAACTACATTCTTTCTTACAAAGGGTGAAAAATACCCTCTCAACTGAGGATATTTATCATTTCAAATACAACACTAGGATGATTTATTCTTAAAAATAAGTTTGAGTCTAAAATCAACTTATAAAGAATATCAATTTTATTCATATATATGAATATATATATATATGGAGACAACATGGAAAAGTCTTATAAGGCTTTTCCTAACAGAACACTATAGATCAGATGGTTAATACAGTTAGTTAACAATAGCACCCAAATGTAGATGAAAACTCACAAGTGATGAATCTAAAATAAGATGGAAGAAAATGTGAAATATACAACCGAGTAACATAAGTATGGAGTTTCTAAACCTTTCATTTCAGTAACACCTTTCATCTATTATTTCTACAGCTTAAAGGTGGATGGGGGGGGGGGGAAGCAAGGCAAATTGCTCTTAAGATCTTCAATTCTTCTGAACCAGGACAGCTACAGCTTAAAGTTCAGCAAATCATATCAGGAATTATGTGCAACAAAGCTGACTTCTGACTTATAAATCATATGTTGTATGTGCTGGCTTTATATATTTTCAGGGATAAAATAATATTTCATTCACATGTTACTCGAAATAACTACCTGTCACCAACATTCACAGCACTTTCTAATTATCTACAGAACCTAGAAAAATGAGGCATCTTTCCCTTTGCTTTCTTTGTTCTTCCCATGAAGAAGAAATTCAAACAAAGTCAGTGCAATCTATAAATAAATTTAGTTTGTGAAGCTTTTTAGAGAAGTATGAAGGAAGAAAAGGAATATTCCTGCTCAATAATCAAGATTTACCTGCATATTGTATAAATACGCGGCATATGCAGCAAGTAACCCCTTAACCAGCCGTAAGATTAGCAGTTAACAAGATTACAGAAAGTTATAACTTCCAAATAATGTTGCACATAACTCTCGCTAGAACCAGAAAATGTCAACCATTACAGAAATACTTACATTTGAAGGTTTAAGTTTGTTAATGATTGTCGTTTTGCCACTATTATCCAGCCCAAGGCATAAAACATGAACCTCCTTCTTCTTCAGGCCGAGTAAACCTGAAAGTCTGTCCAGCAATCCCATAATGTGATTTAAATATTTACAAAGCAACTGCAAATAAAAAGAAATGATTATTTCAAAGGTACCTTACATATGTAATAATGCTAGTATATACATAAAAAATGTAAGGATAATGGCAGTGTCCAAAACACATCGGTGTGGCTTTACTCCTAGTAAACAGTATAAGCCGATTAGCAGAAAGGAGCCTTAACTGAGATGTAGACGGGCAGCTTGTAAACCTTGACAGCAAGCAACAACATCCCTGAGACAATCACATTTACAATGTTCAAGAAGAAGCTCTTGTTAGCGTCAGCAGCGTGTGGAGTCTGCCAATTGTAGTTTTCAAAGTTATTCATGAATGAGAGTCTAGTAACAGAGCACTACAGAGTCTATGAGACTTGGCTCCAGTTATATTTTGAAATAATATGCAATTATAAAAATGTTGCTTATATATTTGTTTTCTGCAGGGCTATTTCCAGTTTGGGAAAGGTTTTCCATTAATAGAGATGGAATAGTCATCCTGATTTCACCTGTCTCATATATATATATATATATATATATATATATATTTCACATTAATTCTTTGGGAATAATGAATACACTCCTTCACAATTTTAGTCAAACTTAATAAATTCCATGTCTTCTTTTTCTTCCTTTCTTTTGGTAAGATCTGTTTTATTTCTACTGGGGAAAGAAAGAGAATAGCTATAACTTTTATCGAATTTGCTTTACTGTGTACACACAAATAACCACATACATATACATACACACTAAAAATTCCCCACAAACCAAAAACACTCCCAAACTGCACCAATATTCTTATTTTGACCAAAAGAATAGATCCTGGGAGAAAGTGCAAAATGCAAAGTTAAATGACCAAGAAATACTACACAAACAGCATTATTAATACACAAAATATTTATATTACTGAACGAATAACAGGCATTGTACTTTCTCTATGTCTAAAAAACTTTGGAACAACAAGGCTAATTGTTAAATCTGGTCTATGTCAGCTTCCCGAATCCAGAGGATTTTAGTTAGATTCGTTTTTTGATGCTTCATTAAATTTTTCTACAAGATCTGGGGCATCATCATCCTCTTCACCAGTGTTGTCTGGCTTTGGTCCTCTACTATCCAATACTTGTCGTGGGAACTGTTCAGCTAATTTTCTATCACTCGTTAAGCTGTCAGCACTAAGCTGACTTAATATGCCAGGAAGCATTTCTGTGATTGCTTTGGCTTCTGCATGACCAGTAATTGCAAAGGTGTTAGTGGAAAGGGAAGCATGGACTTTCGGATTGTTGGAATCAAGAGCTGTTCCAGCATCTTTAATCATGTTCACCTCTTCAATACCAGGTATATTATTCACAGCCAGTTTTTTTTTAAGCTTTTTGTCATCATCTGTGGTTGTCCTATGCAATACCTTCTTTCTATAACCTTGTCCCCATCCAGATCTGAGTAGTTTGGTTAACATTTCTGGTTGGTTTTTTGTTTTTGTTTGTTTGTTTTGTTTGTTTGTTTTTTGAGACAGGGTTTCTTTGTGTAACAGTCCAACCTGTCCTGAAACTAGCTCTTATAGACCAGGTTGGCCTCGAGCTCACAGAGATCTGCCTGCCTCTGCTTCCTGAGTGCTGGGATTAAAGGCATGAACCACCACTGCCTGGCTGGCTAGCATTTCCTGATGGCTAACTTTTCTGTTGCGCGCGCGCACACACACACACACACACACACACACACACACACACACACATTAGCTATATACATTTTTAACTTTCCCCTTATGTGTGTTCAACTGAATCATTTTTTAAGGGAAATATCCATTTTAGTCAGCTTTCTGTTCCCTTAACAAATGTTGTGATAAAACAATTCACAATTTTAGAAGCTATAGTCCATGATGCAGTCCTCAATGCTGGACACTAAGCTCTTAAAATATAGGTCTTCGAGGGGTATTTATTATTACCGTCAGGTGTGGGATAGCTCCCTGGCCTAGGAGGGAAATCTCAGAGACAATACACAAGCTATTGCCATTGCTCTTGTTTGCCCATGGAAACTTGATGTTGAGACACTATTTCAGAAGACACCACACATTTTAGCCACAAGATATGGAGAAATCCAGTTGGCACTGATCAAAAGCTTCTTCCCTGATAGTTAGTTTTTATAGTACAGGAAACTGCTACACAGACTTTGTGGGCAAAATGTCATTAAAAGTCTTGCTCATCTGTAAACGCTGAGAGATATTTCAACGACCAACCTTACAGGCTATGCCCATGGAAGAAAGAATGACATGAAGGTTATGGGGTTAGCCAACTGCTTTCTGACTGAACTTAAGACCTACTTTTCAGGGGGAAACTTATTCCTGGTACGGCAAATCTAACCAAGAACCCATGAGTAGGGAGGTCATAGGGAGGACCCAAATACTATTACTATGCTACTTGGATGCAGTAGTAAACTGCTCCCTCTACTTTTGTCACTAAAGCCGTAGATTAAAGCAGTTCTCAACTCTTATCAGGGAAGATTCTTTCTGCAGTTGATAGCTCTTGATTCAGAAAATCACAAACAGTCCAAGCACAGAGAATAAGCAACTATAAATGCTCAGCTCTAAAGGGAACATCTGTCTATACCATACCCCACCTCCCAAGGCTTAGGGAACATTCTGGAAGAGGAGGCAGAAAGGCTATACAAGCCTGAAGTTGGGGAGTGGGGTGCCAAGCAGAATCTTCTGGGTAAGATAGGGCCAGTGCACTCATGAACTGTTAGCAGCTGTGATTGCCTACACAAGAACTCCCCAAGCCAGTCAACATTCCAGCATGAATTAGGGAAAGGCTTACCACAGAAGCTATTGGCAGTTGATGGCTGTTAGGGAAAGACAGTTTCCTCCAGGGATGCGGCCATTGGCTGGTTGCCCATGCAGATGGCTCTACACCCATGAGCGTAATAGCATACTAATTGTGCTCACTGGGTTACTTCAAAAGAACAGAAAGAAGAGGAAATGAAGTTGGGAGGGCAACATGGAAGAAGTGTCTAGGTAGAACTGGAGTTGGGGAACAGTACTGAAGATAATCAAAATCCATTGTGCATTGTACACAAGTATAAAATTCTTTTTCTTTCTCCCCCCACCCCCGAGACAGCTTTTCTCTGTGTAACAGTTTTGGTTGCCCTGGAACTTGCTTTGTAGACCAGGCTGGTCTCAGTCTCACAGAGACCCACCTGTTTCTGCCTCCCACGTGCTGGGATTAAATGTGTGCACCACCACCACCCACCTACAAGTATAAAATTCCTAAAGAATAAATTTAAAATATTATACTTTAAAAACCCAAACTATATAACCATCTAAAGCAAACTTTAAAGAACTCCCCAAAGTGAGCCCTCAGAAAACAAATTCCATTAGCAATCTAAGACAGAAGTACCTCAGGAAGCAGAGGCAGCTAATATATTACTTGCTTTGAGCAGTTTTCTGTCTGTTTCCTTTCCCTCAATAAAAGTACTGTTAAATTTACACTCCACATCTCAAAACAAAGCTTTTAAAGGAGCTTTCCTTTGGTTTCATCGAACCCTAAATATTACTATGACAGGAAAAGAAAAATACTCCTCTTGCTAACCACCCGACCCTTCCAGTACTGCCACAATGTACTTGTGTACTGAAGAGTTCCCCTTACTCTCTCAACATAAATTTCCAAAGTTCCTGAGGCAGTAATTCACTTCATTGATTCTCATGTTCATTTAAGGTCACACAAATCTGTCATGTTACAGCTCCTTTCAAATGCTTTTGTTCTATAGCACTCCAAGCAAGGGATGCTAAGAGAAGTAAAGCTATAGCAAGGTAATCAATAGGAAGCTTTTAACTCAAAGGCATAAGAAAAGTGATTGTATAGTTGACATTTTGCTTAGTGCCTTTGGAAGACTTCTACCAATTAGTGCCTACAAGGTGCAGTGCCTCCCTCAAGGGTGGGGCCTACAAAAAAAGCTTATTTATTATCCAAAGGATGGGTTCAATCTTAGGTAACTCCTTTATGCTAGCTCAAAACCTTTTCATATTAGATTTTAAAAGCTCATTTCAACACATTTCTTTGAGTCCTAGCTTAAAAGTTGACATTTTAATGAATCCATTTCATCTTGTGATATGAAACAACTGGTATTTATCATTTTAATTCCAATTTGCTATTAAGTACTGTACTGTGCTAACCATTTTAGCATAGATTCTTAGTGTAAAAATTAGTTTTACACTCTTTTTCACAACTCATGTCTATTTAAATTTTCTAAAGAAACGTATATTATCTTGGGAAATAAGTAAGTAGCCAAATGATAAAGTGTTTGCCTGCAATGTGCAAAAGGCCTAGATTTGATCTTAAGCATTGTAAATAGAGAAAGAAAAAAATGAAAAATTTTACTGGAGAGACCACACTGTCATTAAGAGGGCTTGCTGATCTTCCAGAGGACCAGAGTTTTGTTCCCAACACCCACAGAATGAAACTCTCAAGTACCAGTAACTCCAGTTCCAGGAGTAGTCACACTTTTTTCTGGCTTCAGTAGACAGGACACTACATGAACAAATACACACACACACACACACACACACACACACACAGAGAGAGAGAGAGAGAGAGAGAGAGAGAGAGAGAGAGAGAGAGAGCACTAAAAATAAAATCTCTAAAGATTTATTTTCATCTTTGTTTAAGAACTATGTAGATGTTTTGGAGTTTTTTACTATTATTCCTAAACACTTGCCCCCTGTTGGATATACAGCTGGAAAAGATAAATTAACAAAGAAATTAGGCAGATTGTTTTCAAAAATTAAGCATAAATGGTCAGTAAACATATTTTAAAAACACGTGACAGTTCTAGTCACCAGAGAAATGCAAATAAAAAAAACAAAACAAAAAAAAACAAAAAAACAAAAACAAAAACAAAACAAAACAAAACAAAAAAGAACTATGTAGAAAGCTGATAGTGAGTTGAGACTAGACTGCCTTAACGGATAGGAAGCACAGCATATTGGCTTTTATTAGGAAAACAATATACCTTCTGCTTTAAAAGTCTTACTGTATGTACTGTATAACATTGGCAGAATTGATATCTAAAGTAAACTTTCTAAATGAAACAACTCTTGTATTGGAATCAAGAACACGTAGGTTTGACCACTGGCATTGCACTACTCCTCTGTGACTTTTCAGATCGTCAAACCTTTCTGTCCTTCAGTGTTTAAGGCAAGTGGGTTGTGCACACGTTTCAAGGTTGTTCACAGTCTAGCTGATATTTTTTAATTCCTCATCTCACTCCTGCCTTTTATATATACATCAATCAAATTCTCCTAGCTGCTTTCTGAGAATTAACTTTCCAAAGGATTACTGGTCGCCAGAAAAGCACCGAGGAATTAGCATTTTATGCACTCATAGAGGCTTGGAAGGAAGCTGCAGAGAGAGATGAGATCAGGCAGAGAAAACTCCAGAAATGCTACTTGGTAAACTTTTAAGCACGTTGGGAGAGTGGGCTGCTGCACATTCTTACTACCGCAATTAAACAATCTTATTCAGTTTAAAATTTTTGATGATGAAATTTCAACTAAATAATTCACACATCGTATAAAAAGTCCGTCGTGGGCAGCTTTAAAGTCAAGCAAGCAAGCAAGCAAGCAAGCAAACAAACAGCATTCTCCAAAGGAAGTTCAACACATTTTCGAGGCTCCTTAGTATTCATCATATAAACTTTTCTCCTTTTCCATCCCACAAATTAAAGGCAGTAACTCGTTCGGATTGAAAAACATGGGCAATAACTTATTGTAAATCGGACACGGAGAGGGTGGCCTTTGGCTACAATCAGGTAGCGGGGAACTTTCTGAAGTAATGGATCCTGGCGACGGTTCCACCGCACTACAACCACAGCAGCAAGGTAGTCTGTACTCAACGAGGGTGGAAGTGAGAGTGTGGAGAATTACACCCAACAGATCTGAGAGATAACACCAGAGATGGAGGTGAAGACAGGCAAAAAGCCGGGTGGGAGCGGAGATACCTGATCTTTGAAGGCAATCCAAAGGCCACGGGGCTGGCAAAGGCAGAAATGGACGCACTCTTTCCTTGGGCAGAAGCCTCAGCCTTCCTCTCTCTGCCCCCGGAGGAAGGTTCCCTTGTCTCGAGCACAGCCTCTCCTACAAGTTGGGGGAACCGGCGGCTTTGGCCCGGATGGGAGCATCAGGGGTTGAGCAGGAATCCAAGGCGCGCCGCGTTCCCTTGGCAACAGGAGCTCCTTCCGGTTCCCAAAGCCACGCCCCCTCGGGCGTTGTAGCGCCTCCGCTGCTGCGTTCTGATTTCTGCGGTGAAGAACACTGGGTAAAAAATGGCCCGATTCCCGCAGGAGAGTTCTATTACAGAGAAAGAGGGAGCACAGAAGACACGGGGAACCGGCAATACGCTGGGAGCCGAGGGGTAGCGCCTTCGCTGCAGGAACCTGATGGGAGTTGTAGGCCGGCGCACAGCTTGCCGGGTAGTGCGCTGGGGCCTTGGATGCGCGCGCATCTCTGGCGGAGGGAGGACCTCCTGGGCGCCCGTGGTTTGGCACAGATTTGGGGTGACTGCCACTCATCCGCAGAGGGCGGCGTGGTGTGGAGCGAGAATCTGCACAGATGTGGTTCTGTTCCCCATCGCCCAGACCTTTCCCTGCGCTCAGCTAGGCCTGAGAGCGAGTCCGGCAGAAGTATAGTACTTAGCATGGGCAGGAGAGGAGAAAAACGTGTAAAACCATAGTCAGCTTTAAAAAAAAAAAAAGTCCAGAGGCATTATTTGGCAAAGAAAGTGTGATCCTGGTCCTGATTCTTAGCTTTCTGGAGAGATTAACACCCCCCCCCCCCCCCCCCCCCGGCATGAATTTGTGATTACAGTCCTCAGGATCAGAGAGCCAGAGGCATTTGCTAATCAATACTTGAAGTGACCTTTTTAAATTCACTTGGAATTTATAGCTATAGAAGTAAGTTGTACTAATTGAAAGATATTGTATAGACACGTTCTCTCATATTTATATTGCTCCCCAATGGTCAGGCTACCAATACAGCAATTTTAAATTCTACAGAATTTTTGTCAGTCTTTCAAGCTATTTCCACCGTCCTATTTCTCAAGGGATGACTTTCATGACAAACTTGTATTTAAAAAATTTCATCTCTACATTTTTTATTAAAGTTTTTCTCTTCATTTCACTTGTTAGCATAATTGTGGGATGTTGTTTTACCTTTTCCCTGGCTAGAGGTATGTTTAACTACCATACTTAGTGATTTAATTTGGCCTAATAATTTGACTATAGAGATGAAAAAAGAGACTGAAAGGAATTCCGTCAAAGAGATGATGGTAAAGACACCTGTACATGCATTATCATGGAGTGCTTTTTCTTTTGCCTTTCCAAATTCCAGGTGTTCATAACATGGAATGAGGCACAATTCTGGCCTCCTGGCTCTTGCAAGGCAAAAAACAAACCGAATGAACAAAACTTCTTCACTCCTATGTATATAGTAATATATATATATATGATAATACATATGTGTGTATATCGGTTTGTTTTATATATACATGTATATATAGCAATTGCATAAATGACCTTTTTAAAATAGATAATGGAAATAAATATGTTATATTTACTTTGTGGTCTAGGAAAATTAATATCTGTATAGTTCATCTTCAAAAAGTTGCTAGTGGTTTTGAGGAATAAAGAAAGAAAAGTATTTATGTCTGACCAATAGCAAGTGTTTAATAAATACTTTCCTTTGTCCTGAATCCCTGAAGTGGTTGTCCTTTAAGTTCAGACTCAAAGTGCATTAAACACTTCTCTTTGATCCTGCATGTTGTGATTTGACAGAATATGGATGCCTATTTGCTTATGCAATGTTTTTCCCTTAGACATAGCTAGATTTTTTTTTGCCCTTTTTAAGCTGAGTTGTTTTTCTTGATAAAAAACATTTGAAAGAAACTAGAAATATAAGAGACAGACTGAACAACCAACTTTACAGTAAGCTTAGATGATATTTCACAAACATTTTATTGGACTTCATAATTTTATGTCTGTTTTGTCTGCTTATATGTGTACACATCACATGAGTACTTGCTTCACGAAGAGGACAGAAAGGGGCACCATATCTACTGTGACTGGAATTAGAGATGGTTGTGAGCCATCACCCCCTCCCAGATCACCTGCTCACCCCACTTCTTTCACACTTACTTTCACTTCTATGGGACTTTGCGGATCACGCTCTACCTTAGCCCTGCACTGACCCATGTCCTCCACCAATTAAAATAGGAGATGAGGTATTGCTCTCACCCCCAGGTCAACGCCCCTCACCTCTTGCTCCTAAATGGCAGGGTCCCTTTAGAGTAATTCTTCTAACTCCCACAGCTGCCAAGCTAAAAGGGGTTTCCCACTGGATCCACTTGTCACACCTCAAGCCATTTATTTCCACAGCTCAAAATAATCCTTCATACAC